AATAATAACCAGGATGCTGCGGCATCCTGCAAACATGTCACGGGATCTAGATATGTTTAGCCTGAAAACGAGAAGACAAGATAGCTCCTTCCAAATATTTGAAGCTGTTAGGAATGGGCTAAAATTGTCAAGTGGGATAAGAAATTTTTTTATATGTATTTTCTGGCTCTGGCCAGTGGCTTATCTGGTTGAAGCATCATCTCATACACCAAAAGATTGTAGGTTCAATCCTCAGTCAGGGCACATATATCGGTTGTGGGTTTAATCCCCAGTCAGGGCATGTATGGGAGGCAACCCATCAATGTTTCCCTCCGCTTTCTTTCTCTCTCTCTAAAATCAATAAACATGTCCTCGGGTGAGGATTTAAAAAGAAAAGAAGTATTCTCTGTAGATCCAGAGGCTAGAAATATGACCAGGTGGTAAAAATCACAGGAGTCAACTTTCCACTGAACAAAAACAAGCAGCTGAACAATTAGAGCTGCCAAGCAACAGGAGGGCAGCCATGGGAGGAAGTTGGAAGACAGGAAATTACAGTAATTTAACATCTCCATTGTCCCAGGCATTCAACCCAGGACATGTACATTAACATTATCATTTCCATGTTAGAAGTAAGGAAAATGAAGCTTAGAAAACAAAAGTAAAGCCCTGCCTGGTGTGGCCCAGTGAATTGAGCGTTGGTCTGTGAACCAAAGGGTCGTTGGTTCAATTCCCAATGTAGGACACATGCCTGGGTTGCAGGCCAGGTCCCCAGCAGGGGACACACAAAATGCAACCACACATTGATGTTTCTTTCCCTCTCTTCCTCCCTCCCTTCCCCTCTCTACAAGTAAATAAATAAAATCCTAAAGAAAACAAAAGAAAATGTCGATATCACACAGCTGGTAAGTGGCACAGCTGAAGTTCAAACCCAGGGGTAGCTAGCTACTAAAGCATGTTTTTCCCCCTAGTTCAATTCAACTCAACAAACACTATTTTTTAATGTCTGCTTTTGACCAGGCACTGTGCTGGATGCTGGGCATACAAAGATAACTGACAGACTAAACAAGTCTTCCCTTAAAAGGACTCACAGTTCCTCTTCTCCATTGTGCTGGAAGTGTCTGAGGAGAGGCTAGATGACCAGTCTGGACCGTTGGAGAAAAAATTACTAAGATTAGCCAAATAATCACTAAGGTACACTCACCCCCTAAAGTTTATATAAAGTTTATAATGTGGATTCCTTAGGCATAACAGATAAATCCTTAGTGTTGGCATAATAATAGATTTCTGGAAAGTGAGCCACTGGTATTTTATGAAATTTGGTTTCAAATTTCAATATGGGAAAAATGGAGCCTCAACTATAATAAAAGACACATGGATTAAGCAGCTTTTAAAATATAAAGTGGCCACATCATAAATAAAAATATTACTAACGAGTTACAAATGTATCCACTGTACTAACTAAAGCTTCATATCCTGTGCCAGAAATTTCATCAGCTTGAGGCAAGATTCAGAAGAGGGGAACATGTTCTTGGCAACTACGGTGACATGGTGAGGAGGGTCTAGACCACAGCCAGGTTTTCTCAGTTCAGATCCTGGATTGTCACTTATTGCTCATGCACTTTGGACAAGTCCTGGACCTCTCCATGAGTCACATGCCCCATCAGGAAAATGAGATGATATAATAATAGGACCTACCTCAGTAGGGTTGTTACAAGGATTCAGCAAGTTAATTCACGTAAAGAATTTAGAACAGTGCCTGGCACATGGCTGGCAGTCAATAAACGTTTAGTCGTTTGCACTTCCAAGTAGAGGCTTAATCTCTACTAAGGTCCAGAATCCATTTCACAACTCTAATCCTCTGCATTCCGCCCACAGGGGCCTATCTTCTATGATATCTCATGTTTATATAAACAGCAATTCTGGTTAGGAATGCTGGTGCAATTGCATAGGATGCTCTGTAAATACTGCAGAAAATTCTAACGTATCTTAACGATTGAGAGTGTTCAGTAGTATTAGAAGCTTTACTATCCTATTTTGTGATGTCACTGATGTTTGTTTTAGCTTAATTTAGTTCCAATAAGTGTTCAATAAATATTGTCCAAATAAACCTATTCAGACTATCTTCAAGTATGTTAAGACCTATTGTTTGAGATAGAACACACACATACACACTTTTGCCAAGACCAGCAATCCCACTACAATAAGAGATGAGTCTTTTCAGTAAATAAACATGATTCTGTTAATTAAATTATTAAATTCACATAGCACCTACCACATTTTGTATTTGTTATCCTTGTCTATTTCTCACGGACCATCAGGTTATGATTTTTTGTTTGTGTGTTTCATGATCTCTCTTCTATTCACTATGCGTCAATATCCAGAGTACAAAAAATAAATAAAATTGAGCCTACGATGAAAACAAATCTGGAATTTCAATTTAACACTAGTCATCAAAAGTCTGTATCAATATACTAGAAAATAGAATGTATTTCTTTTCTCCTCTTACAAATGTAATCAGTTCTAAATGCTAATAATAGCTTTACTAGGTACATTAAAACAAGAGGCGCAGATGAAGAATGGCGCCTCCGGGCAGGAGGGGTGCCACCAGCTTGCAGTCCGTCAGCATCAAGAAATACACTGGCGGTCCGCTTGGAAGGCCAGGAAACAGACAACCTGCTTTTTTTTTTTCCTTTTAGTTACCTGACAAACCTGAATGAATACATTCATCAATCAAATATCCTGGAGCTATTTTAGATTTAAAAATATATCCACTTGGATGTAACAAGTCATTCTCTTCCTGCAAATCAACTATTGAAAATGCATAGTTATTGTAGGACTATACACCAAGAGATTCACTCAGGAGATTACGGTGCTTATAGCAAGTCCCTAAATTGTTAGCCTATAATACTGCCTTCCCCAGCAACAGGTCAGCCCAAAAGTCTAAATTAAAGTGTAGTTCTTAAAGTGCGGTCTCCAGAGCAGCAGCTACAGCATCAGGTATTGTGAACTGGTTAAGAATAAAAATTCGTGGGTCCCACCAAGACCTTACCGACTCAGAAACCCTGGGGCTGGGCAGGGGCCTGGGACTTGTGTGTTGATGAGGTCTCTGATTCTGAGGTTCACTACAATTTCAGAACTAATCTGAATGAAGGGCTCCTCAAATTGTCCTTTCCTTACTGCCTCGCTTCAATCCTAACTTACATCCTCATTCTTAATTACAACTCCTGCTGCTGATTATAGATCTACTCATTGGAAACTGCACTCAAACACAGGGCAACTAAGCGAGGGCGCTCCGTCAATGACCACTGTCTTGCCTCAACAGAAAAACATCTCTGGATTCCCTGTCCCTTCCTCAGCCTTCGCTGTTCCTTCCTCAGCTGCAGCTGCTGTGACCACGGAGATGTGCAGCTTTGAGGACCTTGATTCATGGGTCGCAGTTCTCCTCAAGTCACCTGCATGTTTGTGCCCTTGGCCCTCTTGTTGCCCATGTCATGTCCTGTCTGCCTATGTGTCACGTGACCCTGCTGCTCATGGCCACTGAGGTTGCCCCCTGTGGATGCTCAATATCTTATTTAATCAAGGGTGGTGGTCTATGTCGCTACAAGACCTTGGGTCGACTTCTGCAGTAGGTTCCTGTCTCACAGGGAAGGCTGGGATTGAAAAGGTGAATGACAATTTCTTAGGAGGAAGAGAGTCTGGTACTACAAAGGGTAAGCAAGTGATGGTCCAAACCCAGCACCTACAGATGCATCAGGTAAAGAGCTAGAGAGCAGCTTGGTTTTTAACAATCGTTTGCAGTGAAGGCAAGAGAGGTAGGGCATCCTGAAAACTGTCTCATGTTCTTCTTATCACTTAGTACTAAGAACACATCCTAACTTCTACCTAGCTGGCTCCTTTCTCAGTCTCCACAAGCCATACGACCATATGTGGGCATGTCCGACAACAATGAACCAGGTAAAGCAGAAACCCTAGTGTAGATATTCATTTACTTCATTGTAATATGGACATGTATAAATGTAAGTTATTGGTTAAATTTCAATAAAGTTTGGGCAACTTATATCTCAGAATAATGAAACCCTATTTATAACATGCCACCAATTTTAAGAAAGCTCCCAGTGGGTTATTTCTGTCATATTTCACAATATTGAGCCATTTTTTCATCCCACCTTTGTCTATTACTACAACACTCGCTTACTAAGCCCACTTAGTAGTGGACATGGTACCTGGTGGTCATTCCTGCTGCACTGGTACAGGAAGTGGATGACAACAGCACCTGTCTGCTGCTTTCATATAAAAAAAAATGGGGTGAATGATTTAATATGACGTTTCCAAAAATGCTTTTAAAAGGGTTTGGTGCAAGAAGCTGCTTTTGGCTCTCCGTGTCCCCAGCTTCACTGGCAGACTGTTTGACAGGGATCTGGCACGTGCTGCAGCCCTGGGAAAGCTGAAGAGGAGCCGGGAGGCCCGCGGAGGCCCGGGGACTGCGGGAGGAAGGCTCCCCCGCGCCGTTCACACCACCTGTAACTGGCTGCCCTGGCTACCAGCGGAAAAGCAGTTTATGGTTCCGCATTGCCTCACTCGAGGACCCGTCAGAACACCCCCCCCCCCCCCCCCCACGGTCTCCTCCCCAGTGTGAAGAGCCTGGAGCTAACACCACAGTCACTTTGAATCAGTGCTGACCCTGCTTCTCCACAATGTATTCAAACAGGGGAAGGAGAAAGAAGTGCTACGGTCACTGTATTTTTAAAACACCCTTGCAGAAATGGCAAGCCCAATCCCCAAATACTCGATAAATAAAGATTTCAATTCTAGAAAACAATGAGAGAGGAAAGCTCATCTCAGAACAACATGCCATTTCACTAAAAAAAAAAAAAGCCGAAAAAGCGCTAGCGTCAGTATTACGTGCTTCTTGCTTAATATAGCTCCTCTGATTCAAGAAAAAGCTTTACTCCGCTCTCCTTGACAGGACGTGATCTTGCTTCTCTCTCCCACAGACACACCTCTCGGGAGTGTTTGTTTACCTCCTTCAGGTCCTGCACGACGGCCGTGAGCCTCTCGTTTTCCGCCTGCACGTTAGTGACCACGGCCCGGCTCTGCTTCAGTTCGTTCTGCATCTCCAAGATCTTCCCCAGGTAGTAAGCTTCCTTCGAGGCCGACTCCTGCAGAAGCGTCTCCTCCCGCGTCTCTCCATCCTCAGCGACTTTACGGTGGATGGAGAAGGACTGCCCAAAGGCCTGCAGGGCATTTGAAAAGAAAAAGAGTGCACGGTGAAATGCACCATAACAGCACTTAAACAGCTGGGGGGAATGTTTCCCTGTGCTTTGTTTGTAAGGAGGGCTATTTTGCAAGACCTCCAGAAGCAAAAACGACATATTCTACTCAAGAGTCTAGCCGGAATCATTGATACTTAAAAGAATTCCAATTCAATTAATTAGGAGGAATAAATTATTAAAATATCTTGCTAAAAATATATACAATGGGTTAAAGAAAACCTGCTGCTTGCTTTGTTACCTTTTTTTTTGACAGTTCAGTGCTAATGACCACATCAAAACTCACATTCTCATTTTCATTCTAGAAAAATCCCCAAAATGTTTTCAGGAAAGAAAACAATAGTGTCATTAGCTTTCTAATGCATTAGCAGTAAGGATACACCCATTATAAACAGTACCCTTAAGAGACAAAATCACCAAACAGCTTTCAAATTGTCTGATACCACACACACACAAAAATCAAAATGCAGTCACTGTAAAAGAAAACACATATATATCTACTTATTTGTACAAAAAGAAATACAGAACAATAAGCCAGAAACTAGTGAAACTGGTTACCTTTGGGAGGTGGGTGGGAACAGGTAGAAAGCATGGGGAGTGAAATGTGCTGCAAAGGCTGAGGGCTTTTCTGAGGATGCCTCCCACAGCCCTGACTCTTGGAACCGCGGTAACTTTTCACATTGCCTCCCAATAAATGGTTAAAATTGACCTCTGTGTCAGGGGAGCCCAAATGGAACCCAAACAACAAATGATCCTAGCTGTATTGCAAATAAACAACATAATTACACTGAGAGGGATAGAGAAGAAAAGGTCTATTAACCTCAGTAATTTTGGAAATCAGTATTTTTCCTATGTACTGTAAAGCTAAAGGCAAAAAAAAAAACAACCAAAACAAAACACTGTACCCAAACACTACTGCCTAGTTAGCAAATGTGTTTTTCACAGGGATTATGGGATCACAGCTCCGAAATTCTTTAAATGTATACTAGGGTTGGGCAAATAAGTAAATATAACACAAATAACAAAAACCAGGTTTTTCACTGTTGGAGAAAGGTGTTACAAAAAAGGAAGAAGTCTAGAAAGAAATTAGTCATATTGTGTTGTAATTAGAAGTAGCAGCATGAACTAAGTCTTTACTAAGGAAGATAAATATTCATATAGACACAAAGATATAGAGGAAGAAAGGGGTTTATATGTGTGTTGTATACATATTTCCTAACTCTGTCAGTTGAGAGGGCAAGAAACAATAATATACCAGTAGCAATGAGCATACCTTGCACCCAAATCTTGTTTCTAAATATCAATTTCCAATTTAAAAAACTAGAGGTCTTTGGAGAAATAAGCAATTTGGGGGCTAGAGCAAAATGCACTTGATACATCTTATGGTGCCAAGGAAGAAGTAACAAACTACTTTTTAAAAATGATGGGGATGCCCTGGCCAAGTAGCTCTGTTGGTTAGAATGTTGTCCCAATATACCACAGTTGAGGGTTCGATCCCTAGCCAGGACACATACAAGGGTCAACCAATGAATGAATAAATAAATGGAACAACAAAAATCAGTGTTTCTTTCTCTCACCCTTCTTCCCGCTCTCTCTTTAGAAATCAATAAATGAAAAGAGGATGGGAACATGTCAAGGGACACAAGAATCTACTTGAAGGGGCTCCCAGTGGCCAGATCTGGGATAATTTAGGCAACAAAATAAATAAATACAATTATATCCATGAGTCCACATTGATATAACTGAATAAATGATGGAAGGAGAAATAGCTGTTATGGAATTCTAATTAATAAATGTAGAAGAAATGATGGAAATAAAATATAACAGCATCTGGCAAGCACCAAGTAATAATTGTTGCAGGTAAGAATTACCAGTGGAGCCCTGGCTGGTGTGGCTCAGTGGACTGAGCAGCAGCCTGTGAACCAAAAGATCACCAGTTTGATTTCCGATCATGGTACATGCCTGGGTTGTGGGCCTGGTCCCTGATTTGGAGCATGTGAGAGGCAGCTGATTATTTCTCTCGCACATCCATGTTTCTCTCCCTCTCTTTCTCCCTTCCTTACCCTCTCTGTGAAAATAAATGAAATCTTTTTTTTTTTAAAGAATGATCAGTGGAATTACTAGGCAAAAAGTATAATGAAAAACAGGGTATCTGCAAAGTCTTGAAACATCTCTCATAATATTTATTAATTCCAATGGGAAAAGTAGTAACTTTCCAACGGAGAGACTTGGTAGACCATAACTAAGAGACCAAAAGTTAGATCAGCAGCAATGAGACATAGTGACATTATGTACACTTTGATATAATAACACCAAGAAGAGCATAGTTTCACTTCTTCTGTGGTACTTTTGCCAAAAATGCATAAGCCAATTCTTAGCATTAAAAAAAAAAAATCAAACCCAGCATGGGAGACATTCTACAAAATTGTTGGCCAGGACTCTTCAACAGGATTATAGCAAGAAAAACAGAGAAAGACTCCTCCAGACTGGATGCAACTAAGGAACCAGGACAATTAAATACACTGTGGGATCCTGGACCTACAAAAAGACATTAGTAAGACAATTGGAAAAATTAGAATGAATTTGTTATTTTGGTTAATATAATTGTATCACTGTCAATTCTGGTTTCCATAATTATACTATGCTTATACATTTGGGAGAGCTGTGTAAAGGGTACGTGAAATTCAGTGCAGTAGTTTTGCAACTTTTTTTCTATGTCTTGAATTATTGCAAAATAAGTATAGTCTCTGTCCTAAAGGAGTTGATAGATCTGAGAAAATCCTAGCACAAAGGGTAAAAATAACATATGTGCTCAGAAAGAGACCTGACTTTGGTGGTTAAGTGCACAATGCAGTATGATGATGATGGGTTATAAAGTTGTACGCTTGAAACCTGTATGATTTTATTAACCAATGTCACCCCAATAAATTCAACAAAAAACTTTAAAGTATGTATATCAGTGAAGAAGAAAATTATTGTATTTTGTCTTAAAATGAATAAGAAAAAAAGAATGTATGTGCTTTAACACCAAAGGGATTCTATATTCAGTTAGAAGTACTGTGGCTTTAGATGTAACTTGAGCTATTAATGCATTTTGAAATTTAGGATTATAAGGAATGTATATGCTTGAACACCAAAAGGATACTATATTCAGTTAGAAGTACTATGGTGTATTATGTAACTTGTGCTATTAATATTTGGAAATGTAAAATGTCATAAAATGATACTTCCAGGCTATGTATAGTCCACAAAGAAATAAGACTGGAATTAACCTGTGAAGGTCAGTTTCACATTTGTTACAAACCTGAAGGCAGAAAAGGTATATGCGAATCATTATAAGGGACGTCATAAACGGGAGGAGGACCGAGTTTGATTTAGTAATTTTAAAGACAATCTGGTACTCTTCTGCAAATTAAATTCACAGAAACAGAAATTTTAAAAAATACTAACCTGGAAACCCATGTCTTAGTGAACTTTCTTAGATTTCTGACCTGGATCAAAGACCAAAGGTGGCTCCTAAGCATTGACTAAGACAGAAATACTCCTGTATCAATGTATTCACCTGTAGAGTGAAATACTCCTGGTGGTTTAGCCTTTCAGCCTCCAAAAAGAAAGAAATTCTTATCTGAGGAGCCAAATTTCCACATGTCGTAAAAGGCATACTGACTCATGAGTAGATGAAAAATTATTTTTGGTGGCGATGTTTACTTTGCTTTTCCATCAGCAATGGTCAGATTCTGTGAGGCCAATTCTGGATTTATGACCCATTAAAAAGCCTTTGGAGGGGAGAGGTCTGGAAGCACACGTCCCCATGTGACGCTCACCGATGGCAAAGGAACCCTAATTCTATAGTCAAGTATCAATACAATTTCAAATGAGCATGAACTGTGTGTCAAGCACCTCAACTAGCTTCCTTTCGACAACTACTTTCCCACTTTTATGTAACAGAGAACTTCCATGGGTCCATTTTCCTTACTCTGCTGAGTAAAATCATTAGACGCAGGCAGTGTCTGGCTCCCAGATAAATCTCAGTGCACAGTCCACGGTCTCCTGGCAGCAAACACAGCCCCTACAGTGTTAACAGAAAGTGAGTATCTCTGTCCACTGTGATGTAAAGTTTTTTAAAATTGCACTCTGGATCCAGCACCAAAGGAAATTTTAAAATTTCAGATATATACATAGAATGGATTTTCCAAAAGGTGTCAAAAATTGAAGTTGCAAATATAAAAATTTGGATGAATCTTTCATTCGTATTTATGGCAGCTTAGAAACCTTAACTGAACACACAGGTTTCCAAAATTAGTCATTATTTTTATGAAGAACTCGGTCCTTCACTGGATCTGATTTTAAAACCAATGAAAGGATGCAGGGTTATCTAAGGCTATTTTTAATTAAAAGAAAAATAATACCAATTCTGCACAGGCTCCACATACGTGCCCAATGATCAGCCTTTCCAAATCCACTGAGAATTAGCACTACTCAGAAACTGTCTGCATTTTAGAAAGAGAGGGTGAAGGAGAAAACACCCCTACTTTACCTAATTCCTAACTGTCAGTTACTCAAATTGGGCATGACAGCCAACTGACATCTACCATTTGTTTAACCGTGAAAGCTGATTTATCAGACCTGTCTGGCTCTGCCAGGTGCCTCCCTCCTCCACCTCCACCTCCATTCCAAGTGTATCCTAACAATGCTGGGCTCACAAGAAAAGGAAGAATCTTTTTCAAAGCTGCATCCTTGGCAGAAATCACAAAACTAGCATCAATGTCTATATATAGGCAAACCTAGGTTAGTCATGCTTCTGGTTATATTTTGTCCAGATTGCAAATTCCTTTTAGACGCTGAAATCGTTTCATGTGTAATTTTATTTTAAATTAATTGAGGTAAATTGACATTGCCAAACAATTTTAAAGTGTATTATGATTTCTTGTCATGGGTGTAGCTGCAGTTGCACAATATTGCCT